AGCAGCACGTAGGCCACAGACTGAAGCTCTAAAGGCAGTTTTGCAGTTACTGTCTGAGTGCACATTTAGGACTGAACACTTCCAATATAACAGCACTGGATTAGAAGCTAAGAATTCACACTGATAGCGGCTGCCCCACAGGCAACGTAAAAGGCACGTTTCAGTGCAAAATAACAAGGGGCCGCAGAACAACAGCATGGACTTCGATGGGCTCAGCCGCTCGCAGGGTTTCGGGAAGAGAAACGACAGCATCCAGCAGCTGCCATCCAACCTACCTCGGGGGCACGGAGATGGAGAAGAACTCCCTGCAGGACAGAAGTGGCCTCGAGGACAAACGTTCCCCACTGCTCCATCCATGGGGTTGGGGAGCATGGAGCCCCTCGTGCAGTAGAAGCCAGCCTCACAGGGACCCGATGGAGCTGCCAGCTCTGCAGTTGCACAGTACAAACCTGAAGCAGGGGAAGAGACAAGGCCCTCACTGAAGAGGCAGCAGACCTCCTACAGTCAAAGCACACGACTGGGATTGCTTAACGAGCCTGGCAAAAGAGGTGAGAGTATGCACCAGAACAAACAGATCAAAACATAAAACTCCAAACTTGTAACACCTCTCCTACCTGGAGTGCAGGGAACAGGAAGAAATGAACCAGCGGGACAAAAGGTTCCTGCTTGGCACAGTCCAACTGATCCAGAAGCTGCACTTGCCACACCTGCTAATGCAAAGGACAGACTGAGGCGAAATATAAAAACTGGAAGAGCTCTATCTTAAAAACAAACAAACAAACAAACAGAAAAAACAAAGACACACACAAACCAGGAAGAACAGAACTACAGCACAGAATTCAGAAGAGTAACAAGGGAAAAGTTCAAGCCATCCTGATCCTGGCTGGGTCCTCTGGGTGACTCTGCAATACCACCCCTCACTAATAACCATCATCAAGCTTTAAAATTCCCCTTAATACCAGAGTGACTCCCAGGAAACACTGGTTTGCTTGATGTGGATCCGGGTGGACAAAACCATCCAGGCATGCAGAGTCCATCTGGTCTTGCTAGGCCTGGCTTGGAACAGACCCTTCCAGGAGGACACAGCTGGCACTTGGAGACATCCCAGATATTTAAAGCTTCACAGTAGGTTCCAGGGGGACAAGGGTACTGTGTGGCAAATTCTGTACTCTTGGGGCAGTAGTGTCCTAGGAAAGAAAAGACAAATTTCATAAAGGTTAAGAGAGGCTGGTAATAGCCTGGGAAGAACTGCAAGCCTGCGCACACAGCATTCTCCTCATGTCTTTCTGAGGAGGAACGAGGGCAAGCTATGACGGTGGGTCCATCCTGCAAGACCTGCAACTTATCATTACTGTGTGATAGCTACAGTCACATTGGCTGCATAAAATGAAACTGATCAGCGCTGAGGATTAGCAGTAGTTGTAAAAGTATCCACCTGTTTCACGAGAAGATCTCAAAGTTCGGTATAAAGGTGTACTACAAAAACTAGGTTTGACGCATTCTACCGTTTGCCGCGTTCAGACAGAGGAACTGAATCACAAAGAAGCTAAGTAATTTGACTGTTGTCACTGATCTGTCCAGTGGAAGAGAACCAAGTCTCACGCCTCCCAGTCTGACGACAAACGTACTCTGCTTCAAACAGCTATAAAAGGATCTGCTAAACCCTAACATGAAATTTCCCAGGATGAGCGGGTAGGTGCAATCAGACCCACCTGCAGGGCAATCCGTGTAATCTGTGGAAGCAGTCTTGCAGTAAAAGCCCTCTGGGCACTCCAAACATTGTGCCATACTCCAAGAGGGACTATAACTCCCTGCAGGGCAAGGCTGGGCTCTGCTGCTCCCCACCGCACAGTAATGTCCCGGTGGACACGGCCCTCCACTGACCGTTGTCTGTGAAGTAAACACCATTGTTAGAGAAAATGTTTCTATATAGCCTAAGAAATCAGAAGACAGCCTCGCAAAACAAAAACAAAACAAAACAAAAAATCAAACCAATAAACCAAACAGAAAACCTGGCTCACTCGCTCTCTCTCAGATTATAATGCTCAAGAGAACTAGGCATACGGTAGTATGAAAGGCTGCACTCATCACTCCATCTTTAAGGCTGCATACTCATCCTTTTCCATAAGATATCAGAATTGAATTCTGCCCATGGCAAATCTGCTCTGGTTGGCAATCTGGCAGGTGGCACCCCCTCCCCTTCTTCTTTCATGGTCAGCAGAGCGCTGTGGCACAAAACAGTACCTTCTTGAGTTACGGTCTTTAAAAACTCCTATTGTATTTTGCCTAAGAGGAGGGCTGACAGATGCAGCACTCCAATCAAACTCGTGCACTCCTGACCTCTTTAATGTTAATTCGATATGGCATTTCGCTCTGCTTTGCAGCATCAATACGCAAAGACAGAACTATTTTTGGTTAGCTTTTAGATGTAAAAGTGAAAGAAGGCCGGGTCTATTTTGCCACCTCTAGCCCCTTTCAGTATTAACGATCTAGATATATCTGACAAAGAAGATAACACAGTAAGGGAGAGTTTGATGCGGGACAAAAGGACTAAGGTGACCTTATGCTCTTCGACTCCACAGATACCATGTTTTGTAACATTTTCATCACAAGCACGGCTTACCCTGGGAGGTTTAGGAGAAAGAGCGCCTCCACTACAGTAGAATCCAGCTTCACATAGTCCAGACGGAGATGAAAGTCCAGTTCCATTGCAGAAATGCCCTGAAAGTGAGAGACAAGATGGACAACAGCAAGCATAAAGCTGGGAAATAATCAGAGTAGCACCAGTTTTGATGTCACCCACATCCATTTACCTGCAGATGCTTCCTCGCAGAACAGTTTCAATACAGAGCTTACACACCTAAACAAACAGCACTCCCTTGTGCCATCTCTACGTACCAAATCATGCAAAGAAAGGGGGAAAAGGGAAGCTCACACGGCAGAAACTTGTGAATATCCTCTTAGGCATGACAGTGGAAAGATGAGTCTTTCTATGGTCTACTCAATGCTTCCCTCCATGAAAACAGTCATGATAGCATGCTCTAGAGACATGCAGTTTTTCTCAGGAACTCTAGAAGTGCTGGCATCTGGCTGGAATCTCCTAGTCCGTTCTTTCAGAATTGTACCTGCATCACACAGGAGACAGTCCTCAATCCTAGTGTTCCCAGTTGAGTTGCTATAATAACCAAGAGGACAAGGCTGCGGAAAGGCAGAGCCCATAGGGCAGTAAGTTCCCTTAGGGCATTTGTTCCCCAGAAGACCATCCGTCGGTGCTGGACTAGACACTCCTCTGCTGCAGTAGAATCCAGCCAAACAGGGCCCTGTAACACGTGACTGCCCTGCAAATGCGCAGTAGTGCCCTGAGAAAGCAATGCACTGCCATTAGTTCTAGCAGAAGAAAACAGAAACTTCAGCGAACAAGCTACGCACTTAGATAACCATGCAAACATCTACAGTGAAGCGTAAAAGACTATTCATTTCCATGGTCCGGGGTGTGTGTGTGGGGGGGTGTTTGTGTGTGTGTGTGCGGAAAAACCAGCAGGTTTCTGGTGAGAGCAGATTTAATGAACTCTAGGGTAGCTTTTTCCTATCTTCTCAGCAGAGCATGATACCGTGCCTATATTGCTTCCGGCTTTTGGTCTCACTTGAGTGCCTCTGCACAGCACTAAATATTGCTATGTACATTTCTTCTATGTGGATCATTGTACTTTTAAAGTTCATAAAGCATCATGTAATATATCCGTGGAGCACAGAGACGACAACGTCCTGGACAAGTACCTTTCTCCACGCTTCTCCATATTATAGCTCGTTGAAGTGCGCTGTGGAGGCAAGGAGTAACTCCTTTTGCTGAACTGCTGGACGCGCATCATTATCGGGGAAAGGAGCAAAGCAACTGCCAAGCTTTTCTGTCTCCAGTTCAAAATATGGCTTCACCACCCCTCAGATCTCCAGGCACCTGAACGTGGCTCTGTCTTCACCTCCACACACAAAATTCAGTGCGAGACACTGCAGCCTGTCATCTGCCCACTGAGCCATACAAACTCCACCACTGAAGCTCGAAAACGTTCACAAGTCATTTTCATGGGCTGTCCTGTCACCATCCTAAGACGCATTTATTCGCTGCTTACCTGGGTCACAAGGGGTGCAGTGAGACATGAGGCTGCTTCTAGTCTGTGGGTTGTAAGTCCCTTTAGGACACGGGAACTGAGTTGGAGAAGCAGTACCAGCAGGGCAGTAGTGGCCAGTTGAACATTCGTTCTCCAAAAAGGAAGAGGAATTCTCTGGGCAGAAGAACCTGGCCCACAGAGGGAATAAATAAGGCATAAAAACAAATTGAGATTTTCTAGCAACGTTCTGTTCATGAATGCTCCTTGATGGGAACGGCTAGTCTAAGGAGGCTACTGCTGCACTGCTCTGCATTGACCATAAAACAGACCTACTTATGTAAATTAGCACGTTCCCTTAGTTGTTTCCTCGCATGCCAAATGGATGGCGTAATTGCAAAAGCCACAGAGACATCATTTTCTTAACTTGAGTCATAACATATCCGGACTGTGCTTCATCAACTCGCAGAAGTTAATCAAGGCCAAATCTGACTGGTAATTGGAGATGAATCCCCTAAGGAAAAGCCAGACTCAGCATCAGGTGATACACAAGACCCCGTTCCCCTTCATCAGGGCTATGTCAGCCTGTTGCCAAGGGAAGTATCTACTGCTTCAGACACGAAAGAAGTCGACGGTGCCAACAGTTTCCTGCTGTCCCGGCTTTGAGCAACCTTCTGATCTAAATTCCCTTCTGACAGGGTCGCATCTGGGTTAAGGACTTGGCCATGTCCCGTAATCAACTGTACAGTGCTGCTAAGCAGAGTTCAATAGTTGCTCTGCTTCTGTTCACAGACAGGTGCTCCTCAGCGGTGAAGTCGGTCATTTTTCCTGCCACACACTGCCCCAAGTTGACTGGATACACCAGCACTTCCAATAGGTCTTAACTCACACGCACAAAAGTAAGCTCGTCGTCTCAGTCTTACCCTTTAGCACAGGGGAGGCAGCTGGCTTGCCTTTGTGAAGGGTTGTATGACCCCGCTGGACAAGCCATTGGAACAGCTGTGCCCTTGGGACAGAAATACCCTGAAAAAGAAAGATCAGAATCAGCAGTATTTCCAGGGGTCAGAGCAGGATGACAATTTTGCTTGACGCTTCCACGTGTCCTAAAACAGACCACAGAGAAGCCCCCCGAGGCACTGAGAAATTTCAAGAGTCAGAATGTCTCAGAGCTGCCTGAAGTCTACGGGGAGTTTTAACCCTCATTCAGCAAACTGGCCAAGTCTGAGAAGCGCCCATAATAGCCTACCTCTGGGACAGGGACCTCCAGCCTTGTCCACCACTGGGAAATTGGGAAGAGTGGATCCCAGTGTGCAGTAGAACCCCTCTGCACACTGTCCTGTAGGGGCTGGAAGGCCAGCAGCATCACAGTAATGCCCAGGCAGACATGGGGAACACTGGGTCTGCAATAAATCAAGGAGACGACAAACTGAGGCCAGCTTCAGGACTGGCTCCACCACTGACCGATCAGTTGTACCTTTGCCGATCATCCTGATGATCGGCCACACGGATTTGTCTCATCTAACTTAAGGCATTTTAATTCTGGCTATCTTAAGTTGAAGCCAACTATCCTGAGCAACTTCCACAGTTAATGGAGAGGCAGGCATCTGTAGTGGGTGATTCAGCTGACCTGTCTTCAGTATCTGTTCGAGAACAAGAGGAACTGCCCTCTGAAACCGTCAAGAATCTAAGCAGCTTCCTTAGAGCTGCACAAAACTAACTGCTGGACATCCACCACTGGATGAGACGTCTCTCGTCCACCCTGTCTTGAGACTCAAGTCTTTCCTTTCATCTCGCGGCAGTGACAATACCACCCCACAAGGCTGCAGAGCCTACATAACTGCACAAGAAAACTTTCGCACAAAGCTGCACAAGTTCATCCCACCTCTGAGCTCATCCTGCTCCTTGAGCTGAAAGTTCCCACAGGACACGGTGTGGGGACAGAAGTGCCTCGGGGACAGTAATGGCCTGCAGGGCAGGGACCAGCTCGGCCTACAAGAGAGGACTGCAGTTAATCAAAAGCAGTATGAAAAAGTGAAGGCATTCATGAGCCGCACTGCGTCTTTAAGAGCTGTGATTTATTCATGCCATGAGCGATTTCTCTGCAGACCGCTCGCAGTCTTTAACTCATTCCCGTCTAAGATGAAGTTAGAACTCAAGTTGCTGCACAAGGGCTCTTCGGAACAGTAGCGGCAGGAAATTTAGCCGTTACTTTACATTCAGCGATCTAGGCATAGGCCTAGGTGACAGAACACACACTTCAAGACTGAACCCAAGAGTTCTTTCCTTCCACTCTCTTCTGAGCACTGCTTTTACTGCACCTAGGACAAAACAGTTACGGTGCTGACTTACAACTCACTGCCAGTGAACTGGCCACACAGCCCCCACGGAAACAGACCCCAGTTCCTTGCAGAGGTGGGTGCTGTCACGGAGAAACCAACTGTAAGGAGCTGCAGAAACCCACGCGGCATTAGCAAAAGAGAAGTGGCACCTTGTATCACGGCATCTGGGTTAGGCTTATAAGATCCTTGAGTGCAATAGTAACCTTCCCAGCACTCTCCAGTCACAGCAGTTGCATTGTGATACTGACAGAACTTCCCTCCATCACAAGCTCTGCAGCTGGTTCTGCTTCCCTGTCCTTGCTCGGGGCTATAAGTACCTGGCGGGCAGGGCTGCCAGTCTAAACCTGTTCCTCCGGGGCAGTAGAAACCTGGAAAAAGAACAAATTAACAAATTCATATTTTATACATTAGCGATGGGACAAATGCTTCAGAGACAAAGAATTACCAACCAGTATCTTGGTGATGGGATGCACACAGCTTTTATAGGCTCTATACAGCCAGTGGCCCGAGATGTCTGGACTGAGCATGACACTGACAGACTTCAGAGAGAAATGAACCCCCGCCGAACTTCCAGGCCACACTGGTCTCTCACACGCTGGGGTTTAAGGAGAGACTCTTTGGGAAAATCTAGGAGGAACCCGGCACCTAAGTGATCCCCAGCCTTAACTCACCCTGAGGACATGGCTGTGGCTTTTCACCAGGGACACAGTATTCACCCTCTGCACAAGCGTGGCACTCCTCTCCATGGGTTTGTGGCATGTAGGAGCCAGGGGGGCATGGAGCTGGACTCCTGGATCCAAGAGGGCAAAAGTGTCTGATGGGACATGGAGCTCCTGAGAGGCCATCAGTGGGTGCTGGAGTCTGGGCCCCGGAGACGCAGTAATACCTGCGGCAGTGAACACAGGAACACGTTCTCCTTATTTCAAGGAAAACAAGGAAATAAAGCTTCTGCCCCCTTCTTGGAACACCCCTCCTTACCTAAAATACAGCATTATGTTCACTCTTCTACTTACCCTGGGCTGCAATGTCCTGAAGGGGCCCTCAGTCCAGAGCTGTTACAGTAATATCCCCCAGGGCAAGGCTGGCACTCCTGCAAATTCCTACCCCCTTCACTGTCAGACCAAGTGCCAGGAGGGCACTGTAACGGAAGTGGTGCACCTGGCAACGTGAAACGCAGCAGAGAGAGGAAATCCCATCTCATGCTTCACCATGAATTAAGGAAAAATTGTCCTAAGCAAAGCATCGTACCTTCAGGGCAGTAATGACCAGGAGGACAAGGCAGTCCTGACTCTCCATCTCGGGGGTTTCTCACTCGGGCACCACTTTTGCACCAGAATCCCTCCGCACAGGCGCCTAGAAAACAGGGTAATATATAGTAAATACACAATCGTATTAAAATAATAGGCACATAAATGCAAATTCCAGAACACGTACCGAAATACAACCATTTGCTATGCTATGCAGAGCCTCTGCCAGTCTACAGAACAACAACATAACGGGGTTATCAATATTTCAGTGGAAGAGCTGCCTCTGACCATAAGGAACGGAGTGCTGGTGGCAGGTGCCAAAACAACAGTTCCTAGAGAAGAAAATGCTTTGGTTGACTCAGACTCAGCACTGCCGTCGCACATGGGCAAGTTCTTAAGCGCCTGCTTCGCTTGAGGCACATACTGAACACATCCTTAAGTTGCTCAAACGCTTTGCTGAACCTTAGTAATATTTTAAAGGGCTTTGCTGAATTAGGGCCTTTACCTACAGGACAAGGAGCAACGAAAAAATCATCAGTATACTGTCTGAAAAAACAATCCTGAGCAAACCGGAGGGAGAGCAGTCAGTGCTGGGTATTTTACCCTTTCTTTGCTGAGCCTCATCACACGTGCACCTGTTACACAGAGGGATTAGTTCCTCAGGAGCTAGGCTGAAACTGTGAGCTAATTCTAAAAAGGATGCCAAACAGATTTGACACTGGAAAACTCTCCACCTGGAAGGCTTTCCAAGACACATCCTGCCTAGAATTCATGTTTCTGCAGTTCCACTCTCACCCATCTAACGGTTTCTGCTTAAGAGAAGGAATCTTTTTTTTTTTCCTCAGAAGGTTCTTGACAAATAAAATGGGATCGTTCACCTTTCCTGAGATCAGGACCCCAGAGTCCTAGCTTCAATCCTTGGCACTAGCTAACAGTCAACAACAACGCAACTCTCTAGCAGCAGCGAATACGCTCAGAAAAACAACTACATACCTGTTGGGGCAGCAAGTCCAGAGAATTCACAGTATTTTCCCGGTGGGCATCTTTGACATTGCTTGACTGTTGTCAGTTTCTGCCTCGGCCCAAAGGTTCCTGCAGGGCAGCTGTACTGAGTGCTCTGGCGGGTCCCTGGTGGACAGTAAAAACCTTGCGGGCATGGGTAAAGGGTAAAATCAATGACTGGTCCTTGCTGGCTGTCACAGTAATAGCCTGCAGTGAAGAGAGAGGAAAGATGGCAAAGTAGTCTTTGAGAGATACTAGCTACTGAGCTGCTTCTCATTAACAGAGAGGATTCCTAACAGATTCCCCCAAGCATACAAAGCACCTCACTGGCCACTCAAGAAATAAATCTACTCCTGACCTGACATTACAACCGATTTAAATCACGTTCTTGCTGGGACAAACACATGCAATAGCTTTCCAGTTGCTGCACTCATACGAAGGGACTTTACCACCCAGTGGTCCCCCGACCAGAGGGCAAAACTTACAGGCACACTTAGCGGCGTATGAAAGCAGTTAGGGACGTAGCACCAGTCTCCCTGCTTGCTTCCAGTTACTGAATCCTTTCAAAGGAAACTTTACTACTCTTTCTGTAAAATGCCATTATTACAATTCATAAAGTAGTGCTATGTGATGCTAGCGGGAGGAGACGTCTGTGGCCATAAGACCAAAGTGTCCCTGGACTGTGTCACGGGAGCACAAGCCATTATTAAAAATAGACTGTTAAGTTATGCTATCTGTTCTTCCACAATCAATGAAGGACACCGCAGGAACTGGATGGACTGCCAGACTTCACCAAGATTGGGAGGGTATCCCACCCCCCTCCCCACCCCCAAGCAAGCAAGTATGCTACGACTTTGACAGCATCAGTATCTCCCCACGTATCAAGGAGCAGATCGCTCTCTTGAGGCCACAGCTTGTGTGACTACATAAAAGGGGAACATTAGAGCTAGTAGGCTACGGAGCATTCTGCATACTTTAAAAACACTATGTCTCCAAGGATTTGGGAGCCCAGAGCAGAAGAGTCTTTCCTCCAAACTACCAGCCCCCAAACCTTCTTATAATATGAAGCAAGAACAATCTCTAGGCACACATTTTGGATAAGACCCAATTCTTTGTTTCCAGAACACCACCTTAACATCCGACTTCTCCCTTCTCCGTATTTTAATTGTTCAGAAGAATTGCACAGATGTTAGCATTTCTGCTTTCATGCAGCCTTTTCACACAGAGCCAGAAGTTATCTCCACTCAAGGGAAACAGAGCACCAAGGTGGCAGTAAGTCTCAAGACTTTCATCCCTAGGAGGACTCAAGAGCCGATGACGAGCAGGCATCTCCTATAGGAGAGGCGCATAGAATAAACCCTGGATATTGTGAAAAACGTAACCCCCGTTTTCTGGTTGCCTGAGCAGTGCACAGAAGCTCTCTGATCCTGTCACAACTCCCAACAAGTAAACGGATCCATCTTCGGCTCTTCCACTCTCAAGCAGCAATTCACAACCAGACATTTATTTTGATCTTGTCCAGGAGACACGCATATTGCTTTGAGCGGGTCCCCAAAGCCTCGCACGCAGTTTATTCATGGCTTACCTTCCCAGCACTCTCCCGTGGGGACACTAAGACCAGGTACCTTGCAATAAAAGCCAGAGGGGCAAGGCTGGCACTCAGAAAGCATCCTCCGCCCTGGCAGGCTAGAAAACGTGCCAGCTGGGCAGAGCCTGGGTGCTGCTGATGCTGCAGCTGTGAGAATAGAAGCAAGACAGAGAAATGAACATCCTTGAGATTGCTGCACTCAGGGGTTGTATTAAGCACGGAGTGGCATGGAAACAGCATCAGCGACGTCTTATTTTCCATTCTTCAATACTACAGCAGCGCTGTATTGAAGAGGACCGACATTAACAACTCTGTTTTGCAACAGGAAAGAGAGGTGAAGCTAACTACGTTTTAAAGACAGACCACTTGGGCACCGAGACGAAAAAAGTCACTTACCACTTTCAGAGAACAGGCCGAGAGGAGGAATCTGGACACCCTGGCCACACTCTAGCAAGCTGGCCACTACACTGTCAAAATCACCCATCGGTATTTCAGGTATTATGCGACTAGCAATTTTGGCTCCTGGTCAGCACCAAATACTCACTGCAGTATGTCCCCACAGGGCAGATATTCCCAGTTGCACCATCAGTTGGTTGAGGGAGAGCTGCACCACCTTTGCAGTAAAACCCAGCAGTACACTGCCCACTGGGGACAGACAGACCTGGAAGAGAGGGAGGATAACAGCACTCAAAACACCAAGACGGGGGGAGAAAAGCAGGAAAATCAGCTGGTCGCGATTTTGCCCTGGGCTAACATCACAAGGTAACACCTGAACCCCCTTCCCTGCTAGTCCAGGCAGACACCTGAGGCATCTTGGAAGCACCATCACGGCCCTATGAAATTATCAGAATAGAAACAGCTCCTGCTTAACACACTGAAGCAGTACTGAAAAGACAGAGAAGGAGTGGGAGAAAATGAAGTAGCACTCAGTATACCAGCATCTGCAGGCTGTGCAGAAGCAGAGTGCAGGGGACACATATAACGATGCATGTTCATACTAGTCCTCTGAAGACGGGGATATGGCCAAAGAGGCCATGGAACACAGTCAAGGCCATGCAGCAAATTCTGGGCAAAGTCAGCTTTACCACCCAGAAGCAGAACTTAGCTTTAGGGTCCTCTAAGGTGTTCCTGAAGAGCAAATATTTATTTGTCCCCAAAAGTCCTTCATTTCAACCCCCTTGGAACCAGATCACTCCTGTTTTCCAAAGGCACATGCTAACCTGAGGCATTGCAGTAAAACCCTGGAGGGCAGGGAAGAGGCTCTGGGCTTCCTTTGGGGCAGTAGAAACCAGCTAGGCACTTTCCTCCAGTGGCAGTGGCTGGACAGAGGCAGTTGGCATTGGTGTAGTTATCCAGATCAAAAGGCTGTGAGGTCCAAGCAGCTGAGACACAGAACCAGCCTGAGAACAGAAAACGTGACTGAGAAGCTCTAACAACCACAGAACCCCAGAGGTTATTATGAATAAACCAGATGGGATGGCCCTTGCATGTAACACCTGCATAGCACAATCATAACCATGCAGAATACGGGACAGGCTCACATCGCCAAAGTTGAACACCACCATGACGTAACAGTCCACGCAACGTGCCTGCAACAGTACAGGCAATGATGCGTCTATACGATACCATCTCAGCAATGATGGTAAGAGGTCTTACAACCTTAAGTTCAGTACTTCCGCTCTGAGATAGCGGTGCTCAATTCAGTTGCCTCAACAGGTTCAGAAGGGCAGGCAAGGAGACAACTGCCTAGGGCTGACAGACATATCCTACATGAAGCCTGTGCCCATTTGAACCAGCAGCTGGAAGTCAGGTGGATGCCCACAGTGCCTTCGATGGCACCAAGTGCCTACAGTTAGGCAAGCGAATCAAGCAAACAGACCAGAAAGGCTGTGACAAGAGCTGCAGTAATAAACATAAATTTCCCGAGCACGCTCTTCCCTGGGGCTGTGCAATACAGCAGCCCAACAGATTCAGACTCACCTGCATCACACTTGCCTGACACACCTGTCAAGTTCTCCTTCCCACAGTAGTGCCCAGGCGGACATGGCAAGCAGCTATCCAAACTCTGTGTCATGGGATCAGGGTTATAGTAGCCCCGGGGACAGGGAAATTCAGTGGCAAATCTGGTTCCTTTGGAATACAGAGAGCAAGAGTCTTTCGTGAACTGTAAATACTCTCTTGGTTATTAATCCTGCACTATCACTGAACGTTGTCTTCGCCAATTTTTCTGAGTGCTGATCTCCATAGAGCACAGCTGGCCCTTCAGGGCCAAGAAAGTCTCTGGGCTCCGCCTAGTTTGCCTGTCTACGATCTAAAACCATGTCTATAGTCTAAAAGATCGGGTTCTTTTCTATGAAGAACCAGATTGACGCTCAAAGGTTTCCTTCACAGAGATCATTTCTTGCCTTTAAAACAAGGATGTTTTGGCCTGGCCAATGGCTGGCTACGTGGCCCTGACACACCCCGCACGAGCGTCCCCCGAGTCCACCTCACCTTTGGGGCAGTAAAAGCCAGCTGGGCAAGGATTCGTACTGTAGCTGGAGGTATTTTCTGGGCAGTAGTACCCTGCTGCACAAGGGAAGCATGCAGCTTGTCTGGTGAGGTTGTTGTAAGTCCCTGCAAGGCAGGGTAGGGGAAAGCTCGTCCCTTCCGGACAGAAATGGCTCACAGGACAAGGGCCTCCTTTCTCCCACACGCCTAGAACACAGAAAGTAAAAGAGAAAGCCAGCAAAAGGAGGTGATAAGACCCCACTGATGAGCATCTCTTCTTGTTTAAGGCTTCTTGGATGCCAGAAGACAGATCAAGAGGATGCACACCTCAACAAACACAAGGACCACAGGATCGCAGCTCTGGAAGTATTCACTGCTGTGTCGCCACGACTTTCCCCTCCATGCCTCACAAGCCAAGCCGTAGCAAACCATATTCAGCAGATGAGTTTTGTAAGCACTCTGCCTCACATACACCAGGAATTCTGGAGAATACGGAATTGTCCACTGGTGACCTAAAAGTCTTCCCTGGAAATAATTATTTCTGAGACAGAATAAACTGATAAGAAGGACTAAGGCTACGTCCATTACTGGCAGGCACCTGTAACTTTCCCCGTGTTCAATACAAGTGTCTCCTTCAGTAGCACAGATCACTGCACTGACTGCTTTTTCATCCTCAGCGCGTATGTACGGGTGCAAATAGCCCAGACGATATGGGGGCTTGAATGACTGAGAGGAGGCAGGGCAGGAGTATTAGGAAAAAAGGGGCCATGTTTTAAAACTGTTGCCAAGACCCCTAGTTACTGGACACAGGCAGATGAAGAAATTGATGTTCACCTAGTGCGACTCACCAGCTGGAGATGGTGAGGAAGCTCCAGACAGGCAGTAGTATCCAGCTGAGCAGAGTCCGGAGGGTGCTGTGAGGCCAGCAGAGTTGCAGTAAGAGCCAGATGGGCACACAGTGCAGCTGGAGTCCTGCCACACGTGCAGCCTGGAGGGAGACGTAAGCAGGCTTTCTGTGGGGAAGCGTTCCACAGGCAGACCCTTAACGCCTGCACCTCTTGCCAAGTGAAAGCTATGAGGCTTTTATGATCAATGCAAAGATATGCCTTGTGAGCCTTACTGAACTGCACCCTGCGGCTTAAGGGCTGCACACCAAAGAGAAGGTGGTACGAAGCAGCAGTGGGAGAGAGGGAGAAAACAAAAAGAAAAGGGAGGTAAGAAACTAGCACCATGAGAACCAAGGAGCTCACCTGTCTGAGTAAGTGCCTGCAGGGCATGGCTGTGGGATACTGCTGCCAGCTGGGCAAAAGTGTCCAGGTGGGCACGGGCCACCAGTGCTTGCGTTTTTGGCTCCGTTAGGATTTGGGACACTTGCTCCTACATCAGCAAAACAGACAATTCAGGTATCCTGAATGACACAGGTTCCTATTCGTAGGCCAGTCTGTCCCCCACGCCTAAGCAACAACTTCCACAGCAAGAAGATGGGAATGGCTGGTTGTTACTTAAAGACAGTTAAGGCAAAAATTCATAACGGAAGGGAAGAGTTCACAGCTAGCACCATATGGGACTAGAATCATTTGGATGCTTTGCCCTTTTACTTTGTTCCACCGAAGACCTACTGCTGTAAGAGCCCGGACCTTAGGGAGGAAGATGACGACGATGTACGCTACACTATCATCTCCTAGAAGGACACGATCTTTAACTATAGCTCACAAAACCCTTCTCTGGCATGCATCATTATTTCTAACGTAAAGCCAGGAAAACTGACACCAGAGAGAGGAGAACAGCTTGCCTGAGCTTCCATTGCTGCAGCAAGGACTAAAAGTTACTGATTCCAGATGCCCATCCCTCGTGCTAAACCCAGGATCAACTGGTTGTTGAAGGGGGCAGCACGTACAGAAACTACTTTGTTTCTGTGAGAATACTGGGAGTGACCATGAAGTTCAAAGGGCCGTCATCCACCCTGCAAAGCATGGACCTGAATAAGGATCAGACCAGAGCTCACTGCTCTGTTTCAGAGCAGTCTCCAGGCTTATGTGCTGGCTGGCAAATAGAAAGATAGAAGCAAAAAGACCCCCTGTTTTCAGTGCAAGCTATCCTCGCGCTAGTGTGGCAAACACCACAGGAAGTTTGCTGTAAGCACGTCCTTTAAACTGGACTGCATCCAAAGATATCTTAGATTTGGACCTGATCTCCATAAACCATTCGCAACAACTGCCCCTCAGAGAGCACAGAAGTTGTTGAAGACCTGAAAGTTATCCTCTCTTGAGGACGGGATGAACTGTGAAATCCAAACAGTCAAAACCTGAGACCTAAACACGTGTTTATATGTCCGTGTGTATGGGTCTCTCTCATTTGTATTTTGGTTCCTGTCATTTCAGGCTTTCCTTAATAACCGTGAGGACAGAAACTTGCTCCAAAATCAAGTAAACGCTTGGATCCTCATTAAATCTTCCAAGCTCAGGCCCAAGATCTATGAAACATATCAAACACTGTAACACTCGGCAGCATGTTTACAGCACACAGCGCACAAAACATTCAGCGCTACTGAGTACTGCGCAGAAGGACTGAGTGATATCGCTGTTACCTTCCGATCTGCAGTCCGCTGTCCCTACAAACACAAATCCCTATTTTGCATGCGTGACAGTTGAAAGCTGCCAAGACACCTGCTTACACACTACAGTCACATTCCTCTGGTAACTCCCAGATAATTTCCATTTCATTTGCCAAAGGCTAATAACGCACTTTCCACAGCTCTCTAACTAGCCAAATAAACACGAATGGTATAAAGGGAACCTGTTCCTTGCCCGATTTTACAAAGGAGAACCCCTATCAGCAGCCTGGCCGTGTGGCATGGGTGTTCTCAGCGACACGGTGTAGGACCCTCCCATGGCCAAATCCACAAACCTTTGTAATTCATTGATGGTATTCAGAGTCACAGGAGACTATGGAGACCAAAAGCAGAAACAGGCTCAAAAAGACACCAGACTTAACTAATAGCTTCACTGAGGATTATTGAACACGATGATCCTAGACGCAAACCGTGGCTCAACATGTTCTTGAACCACCAGCTGCTGAAGTTGGAAGAATATAGCACAAGGACGTCTTGGGTCTGCTTCTTGTATTTTTAACTAAGTCCTTCTACCGGCCTCAGGAAGCAGTTATTTGACTAGAGAAACTTCTGTTGTGACCGAGTATAACCTTATTACACAGCTTCATTCCTCAGGGCTACCCCGGCACTCTGGAACAGAGGCCAGAGAAAGACTGTGTATGAAAACCAACTCCAAGAGCCAGGGCTTCCTTCCTTTTTCACTCCCCCCACCCCAACCCCCACGAATGCTACCTTCAATACCTGCTGTGCAGAAGAATCCTGGCCAGCAGGGGCCACTTGGAGAGGATAATCCCCAGTCTCCACAGAACATGCCTGGAAGACCACAGAGGGAAGAGAGTATCATTCTTTTGGGAGCAAAAAACCGGAGAGCTGATACGGTGCGTGCGCTGCTTGGAAGGCAAAGGGTGAGACTGTGAGAGTGCCCATCTCTTAACGTCAAAATGACGGGGACAAAACAGCGTTCCAGTTCAAACTGTGCTCCTCTGAGAAACCCTGAGCATAAAACCAAGCTCCTCTTGCAGGGCATCAAAAAAACGTGCCTAACGGTGGGGCACTACCAGCAGCGCAAGGACTCTCTTCTGACTGTATTATTATGCTTGGGTTCCCAGGGGTAAAACATGCGTCAGCGGACTAAGAAAGAGGAGACAGGCACAGGGATCACCCTCTCACACGCTGCTCCGCATAGATGATCACAGTTCTCGGTCTTTTCCTCACCTGCAGGGCACTGCTGACACCCCTCGGCCTGGCTCAGTCCGTGGGAAGGGTTGTGAGTCCCTGGTGGACAAGGATGAAAATTGAGTCCAGTTTTCTGAGGGCAATAGAAACCAGGAGGACAGCGGCGTCTTAGCCCTTTTGGACAGTGAAACCCAGCAGGACAAGGAAAGCATTTGCCTTGACCTGTGAAGAAAATTTAAGAATTAAAATATAACGGACTGAAAGAAAAATGCCATGCGTGCCTGGCTGCGCACTTAAAGCGGAAAGAGTCGAAATAACAAGCTGCCTCTGCAAGCCCTCCTGGAATAGCTGTTCTTCAAACAGGCACGTTCTCCTAGAAGCCTCTGACTCAGCAAGCTTCTCAACTCCATTCCACCAGCCCTGAGGAGCCCTGCTAACCTTCACATCTCACCATTAGGTGGCAGGCAGAACAACAGGGAAATCTGGTTAACTGCTCACTAGCTTTGCTTGAGCTGAGCGTCACTGCTACAATCCTACAATCTGACCTGCTGCAGGGATAAAATATATTCTCCATATGACATCATTAAAAAACAGAAAAGCTTCCTCTGACCCTGTGAAACTACAGAACGCCCATAATGAGCAGCAGTGCTCAAGATGCTCTTGGATGCAGGCATAAAGTATGATCTGCATTTCTAGCTTCCCCAAGCCACACTGAAGCTGGAATGATCTAGTTTCTGACCTGTTGCATTATTGTATTCTCCACTTGGGCAGGGAGAAGGTGCTGCTGAGCCTGGAGGGCAGAAATGTCCTCGAGGACAGACACCTCCAGTGACACCATCCTCGGGCTTTGCAGTCTTTGTCCTTCCTGTGCAGTAATAGCCTTAAAGCAGAACACATTTAAATCCTTTCTCTCAGTCAACTTTGCTACAGAAACGTGAGGAGAGGGAAAACCCCTAGCCGAAGATACAGAAAATGCTGAATTCCTGAGCGGCTAAAAAAGTTCTGGCTTTGTCTCACCTTGTGCACAAAGTCCTACGGGAGCATCTTGGCCTGACATATTACAGAAAAACCCAGGAGCACAAGGCAGGCACCAAGTGGCATCCCGGGCTCCTCTCTCTTCATTCCAGGTGCCAGCAGGGCACGGCATCCCTTTTGGGTGTGTCGTGCCAGCAGGGCAATAATGTCCTGCTGGGCACAGATCTCCAAATGGAAGTCCCACCTGAAGAGAGGAAAAGATGGTGAATACGGTTTAGGAACGCTTTTTCAGTGCCAAAAAGGTCTGGCGCCACGCAAAACGTTCAGCACTCACAGGTGAGGAGCTGCTGGACCCTTGAACACAGTAATACCCGGGCTGGCAACGTCCTTCTGGCTCGGTCAGACCAGCCGTGCTGCAGTACATGCCTGCCGGGCAGGGCTTGCAGGAACCTGCCCTAGCTACATCCGTGTAAGTTCCCTGCACAAACACAGAGAACCAATGAATCACCCCTACCAAGGGACTGGAAGCCTGGTGAGAATTAGTACGTGGAAAACACAGCCACGTTCGATTCTTACCACAGGACATGGGAGAGGCAGGGAACTTCCAGCCAAGCAAAAATGCCCTCTGGGACACGCCCTGGGTTCAGCCAGGCCTGTCTCATTGCAGAACGTACCCTCTGGACAGTCCCTACAAAGTGATTGACCACGGCCCTAAAGAAGGAACACAGAACGAACTCGGCAGATACGGGATGTTACCGCTTACAGCGCAAATGAATAAACTTTGCACGTGCTCTACCAACTCCCAGAGGAGACCCCTCCCCCCGACGCAAAATTAACATCCTGAAGCATCTGAACAGCAGCCCAAACGCAACAGATATCCTTTGTGGTATCTGAATACCTCCTTGTACCACTAAAAAGGGGCAGACACGGCCCTGATCTAATAGGGCAGTAAGAGGCTGCCCAACTATGCATGTGATAATTCACCTATGCTAGGCTAAAGCCTCCTCAGCCCACTTCTAAATCTGCAGCTGTACAAGAAAACGCAGGTGAAATTACCAAATGAGCAAAAAAAGAATAGCCTGGGACCAATGGATCTACCGTCCCTCCCCCAACCTTTCTAGCACTGCGCACTTTTTCTGTTGCAAGGCAGGAGCAAAAAAAAGAGGTGATGCTTACCAAGCTTGAGAAAAAAAAGCAAACCTTCATTTTTTAGCTGACCACTAACAAACACCTCACCAATGTCTATTCACGCTCTCATGCGGTTTCCAATGGCTCTGATGACCCCACAAGCATGTTACAGCGTACACCACTGTACTCACAGGCTGGAAGCTGCCAAGAGGACAAGGCTCTGGTCTGAAAGCTCCTGTTAAGGAATAATGCCCCTCCATTACCAGCTGCTGAAGAGCACTTTTGGCAGCTCCTGTACAGAAGTAGCCAGGTTCACATGGTCCAGAGGGAGCTCGGTTATTTGCCCCATCACAGTACAGGCTACACGGGGACAAACAAACATCCTGGGTAGCAGCATTTTTGTCACTGGCTAGCACAGTGGCTAGTCACTGTGTCACTGGCTAGTCCCAAAACAAACAAATTCCCTGCAGGCTGCCTGGAATCTCACAGAGACCTGGTTCCTGTATGCTTACAGGCCTTGGAAGGACTTCTCACGCATGCTCTTTAAAGACCATAACCTCCCTCACATTCAGTAGTTTTAGCCCAAGAAGAATTCTCCCCTCTACAATCAGAGCATGGCAACTGCACACGCTCCTGAATAAAGATCGCGTTAACAGGTTTTGTGCCCTCAAGCCCCAAATGAACTTGCATATACCATTTGTCACACCAACGTGAAGAGATGACCACCTGAAAAGCAGGCTGTCCCTCCCTTGCCTTAACAGTCTGCTCGTATTCAGTGCGCGTGACTTTGTGTGCTCATGGAGAGGTGAAAGTCACTGCTCAGTCCATACCTTTTCCTTCAGAATCACACGTGCAATTTTGGTGTGGTTAAAAGGAACGCAACAGTGTGGTGAATTATATAAAAAGGGCTACCCAACTAGTCCAATTAGTACCCAAGAGAACGTTTAAGCAAGAGCTGCTAGGTCAAGCCACTGCACTAGCGTTATAGACATAATGAGTCTCAACTGAAGCCAGCGAATCATAAAAGCAGGAGGACTACTCAGATGGTTCAAGTTCCTTATTGTAAATCTCTTGATACAGGGATGCAGCAACGGAGAACACAGGCAGCACACTTCCACTGGAGCCCTGGGAACAGAGAGGACTTCACCGCAAGAGGGATGGATGAAGGTAAGGATGGGCTGCTGTGGAGACTGACTTGAGGGTTACACGGCTGGATTCACACAGCAAAGCGAAAACAATCCCTTTGCAATGGAACAAAACCGAGTCACGTTCTACAAAGATGACACTCACCCAGGCGGGCAGTCCAAGCACTGCCGAAGGCTCCTCAACCCACTTATGTTACTGTAGGTTCCTGGAGGGCAGGGGATAGGTAAGGCGGAGCCAGGTGGGCAGTAGGTCCCAGCAGGGCACACATCTCCTGTCACACCATCTGTGGGCAGCTGAAATTGGAAAAGACGTAATTTGAAAAAGGAGCAAATGGGGGGAGGATATTAAAGGGGACATAATGATTTGGGCCCAAGGCAATACAGAAAAGAGAAACAGAGGCATGCTCCTCCTCCTCCTTGCCCTGCC